GTGATCAACACCTTCGCGCCGCGGAGGCCGAACGACCGAGACTTCTCGCCGGCCGTGATGGCGTACACGCGCGCCTGCAGGAAGGAGATGGGGGACGACGGGCCGCTGCAGTCCACCTCGAGTGGCGGCGGGGCATCGGCGAGAGCTGCCGACATCGACATCGCGGAGCTGGACAAGGCCACCGACGCCTTCTTCGACAGGCGGGCGGGGCAGTGCGCTGATTCCCGCCCCCCCCCAGAAGGCATCCTCTTGCTGCTCCTCCTCTCCACTTCATGGGAGGCGGGAGGCGGGGGCTCGGTGTCTCCCGTCCTCTCTCCTCCTGTGTCGTGCCCCCTTCTCCTCTGCTCCTCTGTCGTCCTCTATTCTCTTCCTCTCCTCCCCGCTCTTTCCTCCGTTCTCCTCCCTCCTTTTCCCTGCCCTCCTCCTTGTCCTGCTGCTGTTGCACCTCCACCAGGAAACGGAACATCTTCCTCTTCATTTTCCCCCGCCTTCTCCTCAGTCATCGGCTTCTTCCTGCTCCTCGTCCATGCCCTCTGTGTTGTTATTATCTTTCTGTTTCCTCCTCTTTTCCTCGCTCTCCTCCTCCTTTTCCTCCTACATCCCTGCTTGCTCATGATTAACAGCTCCGCCCTGTTGCAACCCCAGACTTGTCGGTAGGGCGGGCCAGGCGTTTCGCCTGAGACTTCTTCACCGTTAATGATCATTACACTTAGACGTTGAAGCGATGCCCCTGAATTAGGGTGGTTCGTTTTCAAAATGTGGTTCTCGCCTTAGCGCTGGGCGCATTTGTTTTTTCAAGTTCGCAGCAGTTTCAAGGCTTGAGGGTGGCTCCTTTTCAAACTGTGGCTCTCGCCTAAGCGCCGCGTGCATGCGTTTTTCAATTTTGCAGGAATTCCAAGGGTTCGTATAGTTGACGCCCCAGGAATGGTGCCCTGGCTCGATATAGGAATGTCAGGACGCAGCCGTCGCGTGAACTCGCGGTTTTGAAGTCCCAGGAGGAAAGGTTCCAGAAAAGGTGGTCTGGCACGATTTAGGATTGACACGGCGCAACAGTCATGCTAGTTCGGAGAGTGGGGGGTGAGTCCAGCGTGAAACGGAGACCCCCCTACTGGGAGATCGATTTCGGTTTCGGGTTCGTGCCGTGAGTGCCGTGCGTGCGTGCGGGCGAGGCGAAGCTGCGTGGGCGGGCGAGAGGAAATCCTCCTGTGGCTGGGCCGCGGCTGGACCAAATGTTTCTCCTCCAGCGGCTGGTGGCCCGCGGTGTCCTGCTGGTGTCCTGCTGGTGTCCCGAAATCCTCCTGTGGCTGGGCTGCGGCCGGATCAAATGATTCTCCTCTGGCGGCCCGTGGCCCGCGGTGTCCCGCTGGTGTCCCGCTGGTGTCCCGAAATCCTCCTGTGGCTGGGCCGCGGCCAGACCAAATGATTCTCCTCCGGCGGCCGGTGGCGCGCGGTGTCCCGCTGGTGTCCCGCTGGTGTCCCGAATCCTCCTGTGGCTGGGCCGCGGCTGGACCAAATGATGCTCCTCCCGTCAAACGGTGGCCCGCGGTGTCCCGCTGGTGTCCCGCCGTGGGTTGTGCATTTCAAAACATCGCCGCTTGCGGCGAGCTATCCAATGCAAGTCTGCATGCAAGCCGACATGCAGACCGAAAAGCACATCGAAATGCAAATCGATTTGCCCATCCAAATGCAAATCGAAAGGCGCCGTGGGCGCCGCGGCGAGCTTTCCAATGCACGTCGACATGCAAATCGATCAGCAAATCGAAATGCACATCGATATGCAAATCCAAATGCAGATCGAAAGGCACATCGTCATGCCGTGCTGTATGCTGTGCCGCCGTTGTCGTTGTCGGACCGCAGCCAGTTGCCCACAGGCATCGGCAGAACAACAATCCACACTTTTGCCCATTTGGGGGCGTCTTGGGTGCCTCTGGGGGCCTCTTGGTGGCATCCTGGGGGCCTCTTGGGGGCCTCTTGGGGCCTCCTGGGCACCTCTTCGGGCTTTCTTGGGGCACCCTTGGAAGCCTTGGGGGTCGTCCTAGGGCCATCAAAGGAGGGGCAGTACTAAACTAGGGTCTCCCGACAGGAGGCCAATCTGTGGCCAACACCTGAATACAACCAATGATTTCTGCTGACTCGCCGAGGCCATCTTAGACGCTCCGGCGACCCGCGGCCCCCGCCCTCCAGACCCAGGGGTAGGGGGTAGGGGAGGGGTCAAGACACCTCCCAGATAGCAAGCCGTCTAGCTCACTCCCACCCGCCCTCCAAACACATAAGCAACACCCGAGCCTGAGCATGTTCAGCGGTCGTCATTGGATGGGCAGCCTCTGGGAACCCAAAACCGATTCCATGTGCGCGACGCTGGGGAGAGGTGCGCCACGCGTGCCAGGCGCGCCATGTGCGCCAGGCACCCCGTGGGCCGTGGGCCCGAGCGTGCCAGGCACGCCTGGTGCGCCAGATGCGCCACGCGCTCCGCGTGCGCCAGGTGTGCCGCATACTCCAA